TTTTTTGAAAATCTCGAGAATCGTTTCAGTAAAAGAGCTAAAATTTGTGGTGAAAACCAAAGTGCGAGTCAAAAAAGCCACGGGGGCAGATTTCCTATACTTATCCGGCTATACCCTTTAATACAATTTCATTATAAATTATATATATCTCATAATAATCAATAATGTGGAGAAATGTAAGAAAAGATATATTTTGTTAAATATATAAATTGAAAATATATAAATTATGTATAGAAAAAAAAATTTGTAAATATACAAAATTTATATCATCTCTGATATATAAATTGAATATCTGTTTACAGGTAAATGATCTTTAAGAATCCTAATACGAAAATAAATTATATTAGAGATCACCTGTTTACTTTCTAATTGCACTTTTTATTTCTTTTATTTTTCTACTTTTATCTCCTTTTAAGACCATACTGCATAAAGCAAAAGAATAAATCATAATTCAAATCATTTTCACAAGGCTATGGTGCTCCTTTTTAAATGAATCTCACGCTTCCATTGACGCTGAACGACGATATTCTCAAGTACGAGTCGAAGACAGCTGCCAAGGACACGTATCCTACACGGTAACAGGAAGAGAATTTTGAGAAGGACGAGGAGAGTCGAGTATTTCGATGACAGAGAAGAGAAGAGAAGAGAAGAGAAGAGAAGAGAAGAGAAGAGAAGAGAAGAGAAGAGAGGAGAGGAGAGGAGAAGAGAGGAGAAGACAACAAGGAGAAGGCAGGAAACAGCCTGTCGTCCCGAAGATTTGATTTATATGTTAATGGCCAAACCGTGGTCACGAGTTTCCTTGCTTACTTGATACGAATTCCAGCATAACTTTATTTGCTTGCAACTATCAGACAAATATGACGTATCAGTAAACATCACGATGAAACAATACCAAAATAGTTCGAAAAAATAATTGAACAAAATTGTTGTAAAAAAAATTTAATTCGACTTAAGAATATTTAGTAGAAAAATCGTAAATCAGGGAAAACTTTACACGAGATAAAATCAATTGATATTGATAAAACGAAAGATATTTAATTGTTGTTCAATTTACTTGATTAGAAAAAGAAAAAAAGCAATCGATAGTATCATCGAGATTTCAATGAAAAAGTCTTTTTATTTGTACAAACTATTATGATGATAATTCAAAGATAAGGTAACATGAGTTAGCAATGAAAGAAACTTGACGAATAAAAATACGATTCACTATCAAAGCATTATAATCATTACTTTTATTCTTCTTTTTTTTATAAAATTTTCTTGGAAAACCTAATCATTACTAATCAGTAAACCAATAAAAATATAAACTTTTAATTGAAAATTCAATATATTGTTGCATGTTAGATAAGATTGAGTACCAGTCTTATTGAGTACAGGTAGAATTAAAGTATAAAAGCTTCTGCAAAACGACAAACTTAACTTTTGTAAAATGTCGCGAAATCTGTTAATCATTTTCGCTGCCCTATTTACGGCATGTTTCGGTGAGTTTTATAGTGAATTTAATTAAATTGAAGAATACTGTTATATTAAACATTATTAAATTGATTGATATATATCCAAAACATAACTTTGGTGAATGATACTTTTTCTTAATAATTATTTAAAACTATATATTAAAATTGATTCAATGATATTATAGGCTCTTCGTTGATCCCACGGTTACCAGATCATCGAATCGTAGGAGGAAAATCAGTTAGTATTCTTGAACACCCTCATCAAGCAAGATTGTTAAATTATAATAGACACACATGTGGTGCATCTATAATTAGTCAAAAATGGCTGATAACTGCTGCACATTGTACAGGGTAATTTTTTTAAATTACAAAAGTAATCGGAAATATCAAGATTATTTATACTATTTTATGAATTTCAGAAGTCCATTGAGTTCTTATTCTGTATCAGTAGGCAGCAGTGGGAGTAGTGGTATTAAATATTCTGTAAACAGGATTATATCTCATCCAATGTTTAAATCTAAAACTTTAGATTACGATATCAGTCTTGTTGAGGTATATATAAATGATATATAAAAGGTGTATAAATAATTTGATTTTAAGTAATTTACTTATTAACTTAATTACTTTTTCATATATTTTATCTTAGGTCAAGGGAACAATACAGTTGAGTAGTGTAACACGACCCATAGCACTTGCAAACTTCGAACCAAGAAGTGGTGATATAGTTAATATTACTGGATGGGGTGCATTATCGGTACGCAATCAATCTTTGATTTCATAAAAATAATTAGAGTAAAGCATGTATCACAACTTTCATTTTGTTCATTTCTTCATGAATAATTTATTAATTACAGGAATCAGGCAATAGTCCAAACAATTTACAAGTAGTTAGTGTACCAATTGTAAATAGAGGTCGTTGTCAAAATGCTTACAACGGTTTGGCCAATGTTACTGAAAGAATGATTTGTGCCGGTGTGGAAGAAGGTGGCAAAGATTCCTGTCAAGGTGACTCCGGAGGACCACTTTCAGCAAATGGTACACTTTACGGAATCGTTTCATGGGGATTTGGATGTGCTCGACCATATTATCCAGGTGTATATACTAACATAGCACATCTTCGTTCGTGGATTGCCAAAATGAGTGGCGTTTAATTTGATTTGAAATAATTACAAAAACTTACGTGTCTATAATCTATTCAATTAAATTAATACTAAAAAATAAGAATGCCAAATTTCATTATCTTTAGAGAAGTAAATAAAAAAAGAATAATTTAACGTAACAATAAAATGTTATAATAGTTGTTAATTCTATCTTTCAACGATTTCCTGTCATAATAAAATATATAAGATTTACAATTGCATTATATATTACTGACAAAAATTGTAACTCTGTTACGAATCCAATCTACCGATGATTACAATGTAGTATCGCTACATCTCGAGACGATACGATATCTCATTAAACATTTGACTTATTTATAATACTACGAAAAATACCTAAGGAGAATAAAATTTTATCTACAAACACTATTTCGGTGTTAACACGATGAAAAAGTTAAGTCGGAGATCTGAAATAAACACATTTTTGTTCGGGCTTACACGAAAAACGTTTTTCATAAGCCCTAAAAATTGATAATGTTCAAAAACAATTTTATCTACGATGTTTAATTCCGTTTTGTAAGTTAAAGACGTGCGAGATATTTCTGAGCGTGCTATCATCGAGTTGTGATCGATCGTCAACAAAATGACGTTAAAAATTATTCTCCTGGTTTGTGCCATCTTCGCTGAGAGTAAGTCTAATTTTTTCTGTTTTCCTTTTTTCCCCCCAAATCGATTCTGATTATTTCAAAAAAATATCTGTGTATTTATGTATAGTTTTCATACTTGGAGAAACCAGAAAAGTATCCATCAACGAGTACTCATATCACGTAAGTCTAAAAAATATTTGATCAACTTGCATTGTGTAAATTATTTATATTTATATATATATATTAAATATTTTTATATAATTAAAATTTATATATATAAATTTTAATTAATACTTATTTATTTATTATCGTTATTAAACAATTTATATACTCTTTATATTTTTTGAACAATAATAATAATTATAAAGATAGCAAACGTTCGAGAGAACCAATTTGTTTTTCTGACGAAAGTAAAATTAAATTTTTATGAAAATATTCTTTTGTATTAAACATCCTTAATTAAAAACTGTTATTTTTAGGTGTCTGTTCAAAAATTTGGAAAGCATATATGTAGTGGTGCTTTGATATACGAATCCTGGATTTTAACCACAGCATCCTGCGTATTCAAGTACATATATATCTCTACTATATTACATTTTTTACTAATGAATTGTTATTTATTCGATTTAATGCTCAGAGAAAAACATTTTTTCGGAGTTTCTACTTTGTTTCATAACTTAAACAGAGAACTCGTACCATCCGATTCTGAACGAATACTATTATTTTTAGTTTGAAGGCTTCCGATATCAAAATACGCGTTCGTTCTGAATCTTTGATAAAGAATGGAGATGATTTGGATGTTGATAACATCGTTATCCATAACCATTTTGACAAATGTATTAATCTCAACGACATTGCTTTAATAAGGGTACGCATAATCAAAGACTAAAATATCAAAGGATAATTTAATTATTATTATTAAAAAAGAAAAAATAATTGAAATGAATTTCCTATTTAGTTGAAAACACCAGCATTGTTTGGACCAAAATTACAACCAATCGGTTTGCCAGGAAGTGCTGATTATTTCATCAAAGATAACACCACTGTTTTCGTTACTGGATGGCAACGAAAATTAGTAAGTAAATTTAATTAATTATATACATTTATTCTCTAGCATATTAATAAAAATAATAATATTGATTAATTAATCATTCACATGACAAATCCATGATTAAAATTCTATGGATTAAGTATTTTCCCCTAATTAAAACTAAAACCTTTGATCCGAGTCTCTGAGATATTTAATTATTCAATATCATGCTTAATGATTAATTTTTAGTCGCAAGATATACCAATCGAAACTGAGTTATCGGTAATAAGCGTGATGACTGTAAATCAGGAAAAATGTAGTTCCGTGATGCCAAGTTACCAACCACTCTCCGAGAACATGCTTTGTGCTGGTAACATGACTAAAGGAGTGGAAACGTGTCAGGTAAGAGAATTTATTTAAGATGTAGATGAATAAAAAAGGTAGTCAAGGAAAAAGAGTGAGAAAAAAGATAACTGATGATTACTAAGCATCCAGTAGTAGATGCTTTCAAGAGGTTTCTTGACTCCGACCAGATGCTAAACGTTAAACGCACGTTTGATCGTAGTGTATATTACACATGTACAAACTGAAACGTCCACGTAGAAATACATACGTATGTATTATACCTACATACTTATCGATACCAAGCACGTTCGGGTGTCAGAAGCAGAGGTTAAGGAACAATAGGGGACTTTACTATGAAAAGCACGCCTTTTAGTTTCTTTTCTTTTTTTCTCATTCTTTCTTTCTCTTTATCTCCATTTGATAAGAAAAACTTTTCAACGCTTTACACCTTATTGTTTGAATAAAATCACGATATTAATCATTATCGTAAAAACATTTAAAAACATTTGATAATAATATAATATTATTCTATTTGTAATCATATCTATAAATAAAAATATTATAAAAATAAAAAAAATTCATATTCGATAACAAATCAAATATGGCAACTAACGAAGAGATATCTCAAGTACCTATATGTATCGCGATAAATATTATTTCCAAATAGATAGGAAAATCAAAGATAGAAAAGGAATTTGTTTGATCGACAAACGAAACTACCACGATTTCCTTTCTATCAGATAAAAGTAATTTCCTCGTGACCTAGACGCTATCATTCTACGTCGAATATATATATATATATATATATATATATATATATATATAATATGTATATATACCCACAAAAATGGATTCACGTGTCTCTTGGTCATGATCGATGTACCTAACAACTAACTAATACACGAACAATTTTGTTCTCTGAGATTGTTACTGTGACGTATTAGATAACCACTGTCATTTGTCAAACGATTTAAACGATATTTTTCCTTTCCCAGCGTACGTGGCTTTTCGCTAAAAAAAAAAATAAAAAACCTTACAATTTAATTACTATTTTACAAGTTAACATGAGCGACTGGGTGATTTTATTGAAGTACTTGAAAAAACTAGCGTGAAAAAATGTAATCAAATATAAAATCGCGGGATGAAATTTGATTTAAAAAAAAGGCGACGAGGAAAAGAAAAAAAATGTATTATATTGATCATTTCGCCAGTATTTGATAGATGTAGGAAATAAAAAAATATTAAAAGAATAGAAAGATAAAGAAAAAGAAAAAAAACAATCATCACCATCTCTATATTTTGTACCTATATCCGTGTTCACACTTCAGAGCCCCTAGCTATGATAAAAATAAAAGGTCATCGCGCATCTGTCTATCTGTCTGTTTGTATGTCTGTCCTAGAGATTCGCGCTTTTTATTCCATGAAAATTGGTTTTTATTCGATCAACACGTTTTCAAAGGATTTAAACGAAAGCACGCGCAAGCACCACTCCGCATCGTCGTGGAGAGACCCTCTTCGAGTTCTCTGTATTCGAAAGCCCCCAGCATTTGAAATGGCGCGGTGATAACGTTAATTTCGAAAGTATCCCAACGATATATCCGTAAATGGACTCTTTGTGCTAGATTCATGCAGGTTGAACCTCTAACGATACTCCAGCGTCCTCTTGAAAAGTACTCTCCGACGAGAAGAGGAAGAGCTTTGGGAATGCTTAAGAGAGCCTTCTTGAATACAGAATACGAACTACGGAATCGAAATTGAATATTATTGAAAGAATATAATGATGGCGGCCTGACGATAAAGTGGCGAGACTTCTTTTCTTAATAAAATCGTCAAAACCTGATATGCGTCAACATAGACTCACATTCATTCTATTCGTTCTAAATTTGGCGAAAATACACTCATGAATCTCTCTCTTCCGCTGTCTGCGATAAGAAATTCCAACGTCGATTCTACCAAACGTCACGTTTTATTGATCTTTCTATTATTGTTAAACAATAATACCAAGTCAATACGAGAACGTCAGTGTAAACGTTGAGATCGATTCGATCTCGTTGCAAGTATTTACTCAAGAGTTATGGCCAAAATTGAAGAGCGACGTTCGAGTTATTCGCAAACAATGGATGAGCAAGGAGAATTAATCCGAACACGATCTTGATCATTTACCGAAATCGTCTCACGTATGTTTGTAGGGAGATCTAGGAGCACCTCTCATGGTAGACCAGATGCTGATTGGGATTCTATCCTATGGATTAGGATGTGAAACTATGCTACATCCTGGTGTCTATACCCGTATCAGTAATTACCTCAAGTGGATTGCTTCGAATTCGGGCGTTCACTACTAAACTACTAAAGAAAATAATCAAATATATTATGTAAAAAAAATTATGGTACACGAGTAAATATTTGATAACAAAGTGTGCGTACAATGATAGTATTTATTAGATATTTATATAATAATAAAGATATCAAAAAATAAAACTTATCAGAAACGTTCTTATATTACATTAATATTAATTATTTTTAATAATACAATTTTAGTGTCATTTTTAATATTTCAAATAAAAGAAATACTTATTTGTTTGTGTTACAGAAGAAGATCTAGAGTTTTCGAAATTACTAATCTTAGTTTTGCAAAATTTGAATCTACCAAGTATTACTTTTAAACAAATATATATTAAATATATTATAGATATTTTAATATTTTCCTCAAAAAGTGTCCATCCCACGTTTCATACCTTAGCATATGTAGCTATCCAAGATCTAAAAGCTGCTACTCGTGTATAAACACCAGGATATGCCGGTTCTGCGCAACCGTAACCCCAAGATACAATGCCAATTAATATCCCTTGTTGTACTAATGGTCCTCCACTGTCACCCTAAAATAAGGAATTAAGATGCAGTAAGATATACTAAAATCATTATGAAAGTATATGTCAGAACATTATTCCAAAATAATTTAAAGAAATAAATATAAAATCAAATTGATATTCTAAATAATATGCAAGAATAAAAAAAATAATTAATATAAACTTATATAATTATTCCCAAATTAATTGTTATTGCAAATTACCTGACAAGCATCTTTTCCACCAATATTTACATAACCGGCACACAGCATCCTTGAAGTAATTGCACGACTTTTATACAAGTACGAACAATAGGAATTCGAAACGATTGGCACTCTTACTTCGCGTAATTTATTAGTAACTACACCATTCTTCCTTAAAACTCCCCAACCTGTTACATCGGCATTACTACCTGCCACATACTGATCCGCAATTGTTGGTAACAATACGGGTCGTATATTGAAATCGAAACGAAGTGGCTTCTCTAACTATAATTACAATAATATTAAAACTTAAATTAAATCATCCTACGACAAAATAATGATCAAAAAATAAAATCTTTATTACAATAAAATATAGTTTATGAAATATCGATTAGAATCTTTGGAAACTGTTAATTGCAAGTAACTTTACTCCCATTAATGGTAATTATCTTCAAGTATACGAAAAGGATATTTGATATATTTTCTGAACATATAAATTTAATTAAAAGATTATTCGAAGTTCGTAAAAATAAATTTCTAAACAATAAATACTTACTCGAATCAATGCAATATCATAATCCGAATTACTCGGATTATAAAACCCATGTATTAAAATTTTCTTAGCACGAAGCACCGTACCTACTTTGTTTAAATCCGATACACCTGCTTTTATCGATATGAATCCTGCGTATGAACTACAAAAAAAGAACAAATTTTCAAAACTTATTTATAAAAACCAACAAAATACGCACCCTTTTACGCAGTGAGCAGCTGTGATAATCCATTCTTTACTAATAATAGCACCGCCGCAAATGTGACGCTCATTATATCGAATGGATACCTATAAATTCAATCAAATATAATATCATTATATTTAATTATACTTACTTATGAACATATTCATAACAAGAATCGATTAAACTGTGATACAAAATTATTTCACATCAAATATATTTCGATGAAGTTTTCAACTAAAATTGTTTAAACGATGTAATTGTAATGATAAAATGTAATAAAAGAAAAAATAATTGAGAAAAATTGTTGAACTTTTAGTCATTAAATGAAGTATGCTAATCTAATTGATCCATTTATATATACCAAATACAACGGATCGACAACTCGTAGTAGTATGTAACGTATGTTCAGGTTTCTAGTCCCGTATAGAGAAACTACATAGTAACATAGGTACAATATTTGTCTCGCCGGGTACGCCCCGAGGACTTCGATTCGACGATCGTCGCTTAACTAGTTAATAATTGTCCGAAACACTCACTTGGTAGGGGTGCTGATAAATACTGGTCTGTCGGCCTCCAACAATGCGACCCTCGTCGTCTAAAATGCCGAATTATCCAGATCAATATTTCGCTAGGAATTGTTGTCGAGCAATTGTCGTCTATTAATGACAACTCAATAACTCGACTTACGATTAAAGTTATTGACGAAACAAAAGCAACAACATTTCACCATTATATTATATTTGATAATCTCAAAGAAAAAAAAAGAAAATATTAAATAACAATACATACAATCCCAATTTAAATCCTGAGAAATAACCAGCTGTACGAGGAGAAAAAGATACGACGACAGGATGAGTCTATTACTAAGCATGATGAAAGAAGACAAGTTAAGACAAAAGCCAGGAAAGAACTACCTCTCGGTCGTTAAACTCGATTCTCTTATATTTTGATATTTCGTAATCAATGTTTTACAGACGTCAGTATTCGTTTTGAATAGTAGGATTGATCTTTTCGTAACCTTCGTATCAAAAAAATACTTAATGAATCATTATACTTATAAAATAAAATAAAATTTCGTTGTTTTCCAAGTTATAACAAACACTTATTTAGAAACATTTAATGATGTCATGAACAATGATTACCAATCTCAAAGGTGGAGCGTTCGACAGTTCGATCGTACAAATAACGGAGAAATCCAATAACGTAATTAAACGTTATATTCCTATAGATTATCAAAGTTCTAAGGTGTTTAACATCTAGAAACTTCGTTCACGATGATAAATACCATGAGACTACACAAGGGTAAAGGTAAAATTACGAATCGATGCACGTATACTAGCCAAGATGCGAGGACAGCGTAAAGTCTAACAAAACGCTTCCGTGCCCAGGTTATATCTCATTGTTATCTCAGTAAGAGTGGATATACGGAAGTAGTGCATGCAAGCTGCTGAACTAGTAGGAAAGCAAGCAGCTAGATATCCAGGTAATATCGATTGCTTACTAACCATAATGGGCATTACATTAGTATGCCATGGCCGGTATGATTCTTAACGACTCGAAGAGAGCAAGGTGAACTGAGGGAAGAAGAGAGGAGGTGTTTGAACCTTAGCCCTTACTTCCATGTATTATACTACGAAGAGTACGACGATCACCGTATCACGTACAATAGCAATGCTCTTTATGTGCCAACATTCTAGGACCAAAGGAAAGCATCGCCATTTCGTGCTGTCCTTTACGAGTCAGCCATCTGTGCAAGAGCTTGCAAAACCGTTTATGCAAGGTCACACCGTGACGAAATTCGGAACACGTTCGCGTCAGCTCGAGAATTAATAATTCCGAATGACGTCAAGGATAAGCGTTTAAGGTCGAACGGATTTTTCCCTTCTTAAATTTTACTGCTATTTCGTGAGTACTTTGCTTTACCTCTGCTTCGACATTTCAATGCTAGGGGAATTCGGTACTTATAAAGCACACGAGTTAGAAGGGTATGCATTTATTATGCTGTGATAACCCAATGTGATTCAAAATATGAAATCAAGTTTATTCGGTCATCGATACATGTATAGTAGACTTACCTGATTTTTCCAAATATAACATTTCGAGACAATCATAGAAAATATCATACTCTCTCTCTCTCTCTCTCTTCAAATTTAGAATATTATAAATGCAAAAGCTCAACGAGTTTATCGACGTGATCGATAACTTTTGTAAAATAGTAATACTTTAATCCTCATACGATGTAGATACTAAATTCAGTGTATTAATTACAAATGAAGACTGATTTAATTTTTCTTCTTTTATATTAAAAATTGGAACCTTTTCATTTTACATAACTGATTCGAAGAATGTTTAAACGATTATTGATTATCGAACTATCAATCATCGAAGAAATTTATCATTGACACTAGAGTTAGTTTTGTTTCGTTCGAAAAGAAAGCGAATGAATCTCAACGATTATTGACGACGTAATGCCATTCTCTCGAAGAAAGAACGCCAACCGGAAATCTGTCCTTAAGATAATCGACTTTCATTGTTTTCTTGAAAGCCATTTAAACTTCCCTGTAAATCAAGCTCTGATATTTCTCAATACGCTTCGACGATATCGAGAACGTATTACGTAATTATCCTCGTACCTAAAACATAACAACCACGAATCATTGTTAATTTGAAGTTAATTTCACGAAAAAGCCCTTTAATGATAAGTGCCATTCTCGAAACTGAAATTATTCTCTTATTTTTTTTTTTTTACTTCGATATCTGTTAATAGATTTATCAAAAAAGAGATTTATTGATTTCCCATACGAATAGAAAGAAAAATTCGATATGGCACTCATTAAAGTCAACGTTCTTATAATTTTGTAATATGATAAAAAAATATTTATCCATAATTTATATATTATATATTAAAATATTACTTTAAAAAGTTTCATTTAAATCGATAAATAAAAAAGCTAATTACGTTTTACGATAAAGTAATTATATTTTCATGATTTATGAACCATTTCAAATAAGATTCGATACGACGTTGGAAATATTAAATAACAAATTTAATTTTGAAATATATCATATTCCATTTTCTGAGTTATTTGGTTTTCCTTAATATATTAATCAGACAATTTCTATTTCCTCTTTTGAGATTTGCCAAGTGAACGAAAATACGATCTAAATTTGAAACTCTGGTATTAACAAGAGAAGTAGGTAACCCTTTCGAATGACTCACAGTTTGCCAATCGAAATCCGACAAACGTTCGATCAGCCAGAAGGAATGTTTGTTGTGACAACCGGACTATGTCGGCGATCGGCAAACCCCCACTATTTGCACAAATCGCCGGTAATCAGTCTCAACGAGCGTCATCGTCCCAAAACTAACTCAACGTGAGGAACGTGTACCCTTTAGTTGGAATGATATATTCTACAAGAGAGAAAAAATCTCACCGTCTTTTCCCATCCCATGACGATAGCATTGATTCCATCTGACACGTTTGCGTTCACTGAAAGGTAATTTCACTATCTTCACGTTGGTAGAACTCAACGTCAGCTCTGATGTTAACAAACAAAAAATACAATTTAGAACATTTTTATACAAATGGGTATGTTTTCTTTGCATTTTACTAAAGATGATGGATAGCAAGTAAGATAAATTTGTGCTAAGAAATTCGACTAACGGTCAAGATAAAGTAATGTAATAAAGTTTAAAAAAAAAAATTTCAAAAGCCTTCATTCTATACTGCTCACCTTTATCAAGCCAACGTCATAATCGAAAGTATGACCGTCATAAAGATTGTATGGAATGACTTTAGCTATATTCTTGATGAGCGTACCATCTTTAGCATAATAAGTATTTCCAACATGAATGGAAAGTGCTTTGGTTAGTATACTATAAAAAAAAAATATGAAAAAGAATGAACAAGGTAACGGAAAAATCAACAATTTTAAATTTTCAATATTAAATATCTATTAATAATATTGTTTTCGTAGCACAATCAAAAGGAAAATCTTCAACAAAATTAATTTTATAGGAATTAAAAAAAAATGTGTACGAACTTCTCGACATAATGTGCAGTGGTTAATATCTATAATTTACTTATTATCAAGTCACTGTGGCGAAGCTCATTTTTATAAATAGCTTCAATAAAAATATAAAATAAAATAAAATAAAAAATCGAAAATAATATTACTAATATTATCGTAAATTAAATATATCTATTAGTACTAAAGAATATTCCAATGACATTAATATGCATGCTTCCTGATTTATTAATTATTCACTTTTAATTGTTTATACCATATTTTAAAATTCTTGTATTAAAACAATAGTTTAGTTATAAAGTAATTATATTTACTTAGGACTGATGTGCATTCATTGTAATATTCGTTCCCATTATAATTCTATTATTTCTACTTGGTGCAAAAACGAAAAAAATAAAGAAAAGATTGTACAACTTCTTTCCTATTTGACTTGCAATCCATAAACTGATCTGACAGCGGTCATATTTTTAAATCAACTTGACGTGATTCGAATCGCGATTACCGATAACAAATCACTCTTTGATACTGATACCGTTAACTGATTCACGTGAATTATTTTACATCTTGCTTGTCGAATTTCTACGAAAAATATCTTTAAATATTTCTTTTGACAGAACTATACAATATAATACGCGCGTGTAATTAATATTTATACGTAAAATATTATTTCTAAAATTAATTTATAAATTTTTCTACATACAAAAATCAATTTATTTAAACAAAAGAAGAAATTGTAGAAACCACAAACGAAATACCAATAAGTTTAAAATATAGTAAAAAAAAAAAAATGAATCCTAAGAAAATATTTTTTTCATCGTCAAATGTGCTCCTAAAGATAATGTAACTTTGTCGTGAGAATTTTTTCCATTAAAGCAAAAATAACAGAAATATTTCAGATGATAAAGTTAGATCGTAAACCAGGTATACAGAGTGCATCCGAACAGGTAGTAAAACCAGATAGGGTGGGGCGGGAAGTTAGTGCCAAAAAAAAAGAAGTAACATGTTTTCGTTTTATATCTCGTCTTCGAAAAAATTGTGTCACGAGTTGATGTCCGAACGACGTTAATTTAGAAAAATATTCACAGAAATGCATTTTCTTTAAACACAATAATTAGAAATCTTTTTGAAATAATTTATATTTTCAGCAATAATAAATAGAAAAATTTTTAAGGGTTTAGAACAAAAATTAACAAGGGCTTAATAGAAAGTTGTAAAAAAAGTCTTAAGTCCCAAAATAAGGGACGCCTTCCTTAGGTAGGGCGTTGTAAGAGTCTAGCTTTCGAAAAAGAAAATATTGAACACGGCAAAAAAAGAAACGTAACGAGGAAGTAACATTAGTAATTAATAGTCTCAGTGATATTGTTAAAATTAGAAATTTTAAATTCTCTCGAATTTCTAAAGAGATACAGAAGAAATCGGAAAACTTCATGGAACAGGTAACGTCGGGACGAATTTGGTAAGAAATCAATAAGAGAAGTAATACAGTTAGATCAAAACGGTACTGATTCTAAAAACTAAATTAATGCTGAACGTTAACGGAAATAGATAAGGTCTTAATCTTGCGATAGGACTCTTTATGTATATATATTTATGATAAGAATATATGGAAATGAATTTTACGATAGTCCGCCAAGGGAAATGGTTAATGCCTCGATATATATCCAACGTGATGAATATTTAGTTCATTCGAATACATAGATAAAGAAATTTACGATTTTATCATTTCCTTCATCCGCGTAGCTACTTTGTCGATTTTATTTTTGACGAACGTATAGTTACAGTTAATCGTTACTGCGCATCAAATTACACGCGTTTGAATCCTACCTCCGTCTATCTTCTTGCCTTGGTTAACGTATTTCGTTAAACATTATCAAAGAATTTACAAAGAATCTAATAAATGTACCGTAAAATATTCGTCCGCAAGTGAGATTTTTCTGTTTTATTTTTTGTATTCTTTTTATTTTACTTTTCCTTTTCTGTTTTCATGTTAATGTTATACTTTAATTTCAACGTAAGGCGAATAATATTTCTTTTACCTCCATTTTCATGGGGAATCTTATTAAAATTCTCTTAATTAAATTTCGTTACATTAAATATAAAACATTATTGCTTAGACGATCATTTATAAAAGAACTATTTCGTTTTTATACGAGCGGATATGGTGCTGGAGTAACGTTAAAGCTATGTAATAATTTATGTAGTTGAATAAACTATTTCGGAAATGCGGGAAATTCGAGTTCAATGTAAATATTAGAAGAGTGAACCCGCATGAAATAAGCTGTCTATTATTATTAATGATATAGCGTATAATAAATGACTCATATAGTCAAAATAGAAAGCATAATAGTTCTAATGTTGAACGACAATATATCGTCATGAGAACGTTGTTAGAAATTATTTTAACAATAACAAAAATATATATATATATTTTCTCGATCATTTTTTACGATTACTTCAAAAAAGTATTTCCTTATTATTTCGTATTCACAAAGTAATGATTTCGTTGAGAGGAAAGTATTGTGAATTCAAGCAAAGCACCGATAAAATTTATCCGAAGGTCAACAAACCTCGCTTACGGCTATCGTACATGTAGCGTGAAAACCAATATAAATTGACTTTATCGTTCAAAATGGGTTTTTAATTGGTGCGCATGCATCAACAACATCGATATCGATAAGAAATTGCCAGGTCAATGCCGATGGCTTATAATAAAAGTCTAATGATCGAATGGAAAACAGCTTAACCAAATTTACGATATGCTTACGAATTTGTACAAACTCATATGATCGCTCGATCGTTCTTCGTATATTTCGTAAACGTTTCTTACGCAATAAAAATCCTTGTTTATTCTACGATATCGTACGTAGATTAATAATGAACAAAATTATATATGCGTCGAAAAAAACAAACAGAACAATTCGAAGGAGTTTTGTCATATATATATATATACTCAAAAGAAATATTTCATCATAGTAAATACAAGTATATAGTATATACTAGATATATCTATATATGTATTGTACATATATGTAGTACCTACTTTGTCAGGGCAAAGAAAATCTACGGACACGCTTCCACATAAAATCAACAAAAGTCTGCATACGTAATTGCAATTACAACGTGTTTTCTCTTCAGTTTTTATTTCGGTATTCGGACTACTCCTAGCTTATGTACATTATCATTCGAGTTTCGCCATATGCTACACATATGTAACAGCGCATTTTTACTTTAATTTAAAATTCTTACTAATTACTCGCTAGTAACATCCTAAATAAAGCACTGCCGTTGTAATTAAGTAATTAACATAGTATTTCTTTACATCACCGGCAACGCCTTTTCATTTTGTCTATATATGCGTTCAAAAACGTCATATAAAGAAAAATAAGATATTTTTCGTCCGTTTGAAAATAAATTTCAGCCAGATCTAATAAACTAAATTGCTTAAAGATAAAGAGCGAGAGAGAGAGAGAGAGAGAGAGAAAGAAAGAGAAAGAGACAACAAAAAATGCATAAACAGGTCTGATAAAATATACACAACTACGAGCTAAATAAAATTGTAGATGCATTCCATGAAAATTATCATTAAAATTAATAAAAACATAATTGTTAATTGTAAAACATGGAAATATGTGAATATTTAGATTAGAAATATTACTCCTTGAATTAGGTTTAATTATCTGAAAGACGAAAACTTGAATGTAAACACGACATATTTCGAATTCATGATGCAACAACGATGCAGCTCAAAATTATCTACATAAGTTTGAGTCATTTTACGTGGGAATATTTAACAAATTCCTCATTGTGATGGTGAGTAAACTGTTCCAGTCATAGTATTACAGGAATTAACAATGTTACGATTAACGCAAGAGTATTATCATATAGATATGTATGCATGAATTTCAAAAGCTTTATATAGTACGACGAGAACCTTTAGTCGTACAAACAACATTAAAATGATCAAGCTGGTGATACTAATTTCCTTCCTCGGTTCCTCATTGACGTCTAACATCATTGGTTCTAGTATGTATTTAGTAATTACCAAAATTAATTATTTCGTTAATAATAAAATCTTATGAAATATTTTGTAAGAAATGACATATATTTCATATAAAATGCTAAAAAATATTATAAAAATCTATAAGATAATAATAATATTTAAAATGCGTTACGTAAAAATATTTTTTTACAATACGAAGATAAAGTAAACATATTTATGTTAAAAATTCGATTATTATCAAAACAATAAGATCACAAAAAGAGATATACACTGAGATGATTGAAAAGCATTATAACATACGATTTAGTTGAAATATTTGGATGAAAAGATAATTGTATACGATATGCTGATATTACCGTCTTATTTGAATGTCATATAGGCTATTATCGGAAAAGAATAAGCCCGAAGTCAGTGGGGCAAAGAATTATTGGAGGAGAGGATGCCGTTATAGAAGAATATCCATTTGCAGTTAGTATACGTCGTGCGATCGACCTTTACGGTCCATTTGATATATAGAGAATAATTCTTTTTCCTGCAGGTTTCTCTACAGAACAACGTTACAATTTTTGGCCATGATGTCGAGCATTTCTGCGGCGGTAGTATTATCAGTGATACGTGGATAATAACATCGGCTCAGTGTGCTCTCAGGCAAGACCATTCAGTTCCAAATCGCTCGATATAGCATAATCGCATAGTATACCTATGCATTGATAAGTTTACTTTTTTCTTCCCTACAAATTCGAATATTCCTCTTCTTGCAGTATAAACGTGAGAGAATTTCACATCAGAGCTGGAAGCACGTATTATTATAAAAACGGCACGACGTATAACGTTGAAAGGATCGTTGTTCACCCAGCCTTCAACTATCACAATTACGATTTCGATGTTGGACTTGTAAAAGTAATGTGGCTATTGATGATCGATTAATTAACTACTTACCTGAAGTATTATTCAATTACAGTATTTAATAATAAACAAAAAAAATGTTATATTTCAGTTGAGAAGAAAAATAGTGTTTGATAAATTGAAACAACCAATTAAATTACCAACAAAAGATCAAGAAATCAAGGATGGTGTTGAAATTACTATAGTCGGTTGGGGAGCAACACAGGTAAGGGAGATAATAAATAAGGAATATTTTTTTCTTCCCAATAGAAAAATTATTATATATGTGTGGCTATATCTTTTAATACTTTTATCGGTAAATATCTTCTTTCAGAATCTTGCTCCTTTTTCTGAGAATCTTCAAAAAACTAATTTACCCAAAATTAGTAACGAAGAATGTACTTTGACATACGGGTATCAGCTGACCGATCGAATGTTTTGTATTATCTCTGATAATAGTAAGCCTTGCGTCGGTGATTCCGGTTCATCGGCTGTAATAAATAACACGTTAATTGGTAAATCTATACATCTTTTATTCTTTTTATTTAATTGATTAATTAATAATTAACTTAATAATAATTCTTTTTATAGGTGTAGCATCGTGGAGCGGTGCTTGTGAATTTTCATACCCAACTGCATACACGAATCTATCCGAAATGATAGATTGGATTAAAGAAAACACTGAAATATCCTAATCTTAATTAATTTACGTAGGCGAAATATGTGATTTCTTTGAAATTTATTTAAATTTTTTTTGATATTTATAGATGCGATGAATTGTAAAATATTGTTTATGTAATTACATACATATCATATTTTCTAATAAAATTGTAAAAAAAAAGTCGTGATAAATATGCTTTACATCATTTTACTTTCGAATATTACACATTATCTATTATAATATCGCTAAAGAGCTAAATGTCGACCACAAAACAATTTTAAATCATTTACGAAAGGTTGGATGAAAAATAAGAAAATAACTTGTTTCACTTTTGCATTAAAAATATGAAGAAACTTATTCTCCAATCCAATAAAACAAAATTGATTTCACAAGTACTTATAGATGAGAAAAATGTAAATACGAAAGACGAGGAAAAAGTAAGTTTTCCAAATTGTACCTATACTTATCGAAAGAGTACTGTTAAAAACTAATAGGTTCGTAGTAATGCAATGATCCCATTAAGTCGAATACAAAATCCGATAGTTACATTGATACAATAGTTTACACATCGATTCGTATTCGTTGAATCAGCTCGTTAGTTCATCTTCCACTCTTTAGTCCAGTCAAAATAGCCCTGAAATCGGGTTTTTGAGCTATACGGCTGAAAAAATATGGAAATTATCAGAAAAATGCGTACAATACTGTGGGCAAAGTAAAAAAGTTCTCAACCACCGGGAAAGGGGTGAAAAAAATTAAAAA